GTTGGTTCAGCCCCACTTCTCTCCCATAGCCTGCAAACCCTTGAGGGAGGGAGCCCTGGGGACATTGGGTAGAGTTCATGGTCATGAGCTCTTGTCCACGCTTGGCTTGCGCTCCAAAAGCAGCGTTTCCCATCATTATCGATCAGGCAGGAATACAAGGGCCTCCAAAAGCAATGTTTCCCATCATCATCGATTAGGAATACCAAAGCCCAACACAGAGCAGAGGTTTTAACCTGTTTCGTGCCATGAATCCATAGGGATTGCAATGGGAGCTCCAAAGCACACCGGGTCTAACCCCCCGATCCCCGTGGCTTCGGTCACGACCTAAAAGGGATGAGCAAAGGCCGAAGTGCTTTCAAAGCCACTGAAATGAGGGGAAATGCCCCTTGTGAGCATAAAGATGGCTTGGGAAGGTGATTGAAGTAGGCCAGCAGCACAAAGAGAGACTTCAGCATGAGCGTGGAAGGTCTTCTTCCAATAGGAAAGGTAGGCTGCACCTCCAGCCCCACCATGGAAAGTCTTCTTCCAATAGGAAAGACAGGCTGCACCTCCAGCCCCACCTTATATATATATATCCATTATATTATTGTATATAATTATATATATCCATTATATTATTATCTATAATTATATATATCCATCATATTATAATTATCTACATATCCATCACATTATATAAAATTATGTATATTCATTATAGTATATATAATTATATATTATAAAATATTATATTAAGCATTATTATATTACTCTCATTACATACTATTTCTATTACATTATATTATTAATAATTACATATTATATATCCATATATAATTATGTATGTTAGCTATCCATATATAATTATATATTAGACATCCATATGTAATTATATATATTAGATATCCATACATAATTGTCCATATTGGATATCCATATATAATTATATATATTAGACATCCATATGTAATTATATATATTAGCTATCCATATATAATTATCCATATTAGCCATCCATATATAATTATATATATTAGCTACCATATATAATTATATATATTAGACATCCATATGTAATTATATATATTAGCTATCCATATATAATTATGTATGTTATATATCCATTTATAATTCTATATATTAGTTATCCATATCTAATTCTATACATTAGCTATCCATATATAATTATATATGTTATAGATCCATATGTAATTATATATGTTATATACCCCTTCCATAAAGCCAGAGCAGAACCCCCATCACCCCTGTGCTATGATCCAGAGCTGCCCCCCAGCCCCTGTGAAGAGGAAGGCACCCATTCCCCCCCCAGCCCTCCTCTTCCTCTTGCTTGCCCACCATGGGTGCTTGAAGCCAAGCTGAACCAGCGCCCGGCTGAGGTTTCCTCCTCAATGGATGTGATTCCCATCCCAAACCGGGCTCCCAGAGCTCATCCCAACTGAATCCGCTTCCAAACCCCAAAGCGCATCCATGTGGGAGCCGATCCCACCTCACATTAGACAGCAAGGGGGAGAAAAGCAGGGATGAAGCCTGGGTTAGGGATAGGGATAGGGTTAGGGTTAGGGTTAGGGTTAAGGATAGGGATAGGGATAGGGATAGGGTTAGGGTCAGTGTTAGGGTTAGGGATACTGATAGGGTTAGGGATAGGGTTAGGGATAGGGTTAGGGTTAGGGTTAGGGTTAGGGTTAGGGTCAGGGTTAGGGTTAGGGTTAAGGATAGGTATAGGGTTAGGGTCAGAGTTAGGTTTAGGGTTAGGGTTAGTGATAGGGATAGGGTTAGGGATAGGGTTAGGGGTAGGGATAGGGATAGGGTTAGGGTTAAGGATAGGGATAGGGATAGGTTTAGGGTCAGGGTTAGGGTTAGGGGTAGGGATAGGGATAGGGTTAGGGTTAAGGATAGGGATAGGGTTAGGGTTAGGGTTAGGGATAGGGTTAGGTTTAGGGGTAGGGGTAGATACAGGATTAGGGTTAGGGTTAGGTTGAGTTAAATAGAGGATTGGAAACTGCTCTGAACTGTCTGAGAATGAACACTGGGAATGGAGATGAGAGTGGGACAAAGGAAGCTCTCCCAAATCCTCCTTTTTGGTACCCCCGGAATTGAGCCCTCCAATAGAGACAATAGGCCCAAGTTTAACCAAACCCGCCCACTTTTAGTCTTTAAAAGCCTGCCTGAAAGCAATTGGGTGGCCCAGAGCATCCCTAAGGGTATCAGTCACCCAACTGTGCAGGATTGCCCTCAGCACACATAGGACAGGGCTCCGGGATCCTCCATATCCAGCTGGAAGGGCCATTGTTATCCATTAGAAGTGAACAGGCACTGATTCCGGAGCTGCTCTGCTCCATAGGGAATTCCTGGCCCTTTGGGGCTCAGGGTTGTCCCTTTGCTCACCTAGAACAGGGTTGAGAGTGGGGCAGAGGAGGGGAAACAACACCAAAGGTGTCATAAAGAGAGGTGAACCAGTGCAGCTCCTCTCTGGAGGGGACAGGGAGCAGAGAATTCCCTCTATGGGATCCATAGGGAGGTTTCCTCTGTTACAGGAGGAATAAAGCTGATTTATGGCTCCTTTTTGCTCCATTTTCCAAAGTTAAAGGAGAAATCTCTGCCCTGAACCGAGAACTCCGATGGTCATGGTTGAAATGAAGGGATGGGGATTATATATATAATATTATTAATAACATTACTATATATATAATAATATAATATATAAATATTATATTATTTTCTTATATTATTATATACATAATAATAAATAATAATATATAATACTATTATTATATATAATAGTATTATATATAAAATAGCATTTGATATATCTAATAGTATATATATCATTATATATATACACAGTCATTTAATACCTACTGGGGATTATATATATAATATTATTAATAATATTACTACATATAATATTATTATATTATTATGTTATTTTATTAATATTTTATTATAGAATCATTCTATATATTACGATATTATATCTATTCTATATCATTATATTATATGCATAATAAATGATACTATTATACATAATAGCATTATATATCTATCAAATGGCATTATATATATATATAATAGTAGATGTATAATTATACATACACACAGCCATTTAATTCCTACTTAATCCAAGGCAATTGCCCGTTCTTTGCTGGCTTCCATCCTCAAGCAGGAGCAATCCATCATCCTGATGGGGCCTGATGGGATGCCAAGCCGTTCCATCCCCTCTCTCCATAGGGAACCCCACTCCCACCTCCCACCACCACCAGCCCTGGTGGGTAGAAGTCCTTGGAAGAGATGGGAATGGCTCCCCATTGCCTTTCCAAGGCATGGGAATGGGCCGTGCTCATCTCCGGCGCGAACGCACCCGCGTCCTGCTTGGAGCATCCTAAACGCACTGCTTCTTCCCAACGCAAGGATCGGGCTTGGCGATGGGTGGCTCTAGGAATGGGGTGTGTGTGGGGGGGTGATGCCATAATGGGGTCCTTGCTCCCTTTACAACGGCCTTGGGTGGAAGCGGGTGACCTTGAGGTCCTTGGGAGCATCAGAAGAGGCAGAGGATGGGATCGTCCCTTGGGAAAAGCACGGATCCAGCGCTCAGCAGCCCCGTTCCCGAGCGCACAGCCCCGGAGCCGGGAGCAGGATGGGCCCTCTCGTGGTCAGCGCAAGGTAAGCAAGAAGATGGGGGGGGGAAATGCTGCACTGCCTGCGGCGACGCTGGAGTCACCCCGCTTAGCGACGGGGAAAGGCAGGGACGAGCCGAAAAACAGCGCTTTTCACCCCAAAATAAGGGGGAAAAGGGGAGCCGAAAACCAGCGCTTTTCCCCCCAAAATAAGGGGGAAAGAGGAGCCGAAAACCAGCGCTTTTCCCCCCAAAATAAGGGGGAAAGAGGAGCCGAAAACCAGCGCTTTTCACCCCAAAATAAGGGGGAAAAGGGGAGCCGAAAACCAGCGCTTTTCACCCCAAAATAAGGGGGAAAAGGGGAGCCGAAAAACAGCGCTTTTCACCCCAAAATAAGGGGGAAAGAGGAGCCGAAAAACAGCGCTTTTCACCCCAAAATAAGGGGGAAAGAGGAGCCGAAAACCAGCGCTTTTCACCCCAAAATAAGGGGGAAAAGGGGAGCCGAAAACCAGCGCTTTTCACCCTAAAACAAGGGGGGAAAGAGGAGCCGAAAACCAGCGCTTTTCACCCCAAAATAAGGGGGGAAAACGGGCGGGTTTTGGTGAACTGGGGTCATCCGGCGCAAATAAGCTCGGCGCTGAGCACAATCCCGCCTGGTTTCTGGTTTTTTAAGGCTAAAGAAGGGGGTTTTAAGCCTACGTGCAAGAGTTTTCAATCCCAGCTGCTGAGCGCTAACATAGGTCCATGTGTTGAGCTCTGCTCGGAGACGATGGGGCTCTTGTAGGGCGAGCCCTCCCTTTGCCAAAGCACAGACCCACATCCCAAGGGGTTTCTCCCTGCTCTCCATCCGGCTCCATGGGCTCTGCCATTCCCGTCGTCGGGAATCACCTCCGCCAGCCTCAATGACACAGCCGGTCACCCCCGGCGCTGACTTGTAGGCAGCCGGCTGCCAGCCTTGCATTGGATTGGAAGGGAGCAGGGAATGCTGCCCGCTTCCATAGGGAACGCAAACCGGGATGGAAGCATCCACAAGCACCTCATCACCCCCCCCATACACACAGACACACACACCCCACGGAGGGATGCTCCTCGCTAGCAACCCCCGTGCCTTGCAAGCATCCATCCCCTGGATCTCCGCAGCATTCCAGCGGCTGGGAAGGGTGGATCCCGGCCTCGGGAAGCGCGCTCCATGGAGCAGGGCGGTGACACTGCAATTTATCACCCTAAGGGCCGGCGGTAGAGAAGCAGCGCTGAAGGGCCCCGGCTCCGCAGGGATGCGATGGGAGGATGGAAGTGGGGGGGAACCGCTTGCTCCCCCCCATCACCCCCTGCCCCATCCCGCACCGCGATGGGGGCCGGTAACGGGGACCGGAGCCCCCGCGCTCACCTCTCCCGTTGCGAGCCTACAGGGGCGGCATCACCTCGGCTGAGCCCCCCCCTCCGCCGCCGCCGCCGCTGCCGCCGCCGCCTCCATCGCCGCCGCCGCCTCCTCCTCCTCCTCCCATGGTCGGTAACGGCGGAGCCTCCCGCACCGGCGGAGCCGGGCAGCGCCGCTGCCGCAGGGGCCGCCCCGCCCCGGCTCCGCGCAGCGGCGGCGGAGGAGGAGGAGGAGGAGGAGGAGGAAGAAGAAGAGAGGAGGAGGAAGGCGGCTCAGCCCCGCCCAGCCCCGCCCGATGGCCGCAGCCCCGGTGCGGAGACCGGAGAGGGGGAGATGCGGTCCTTGCCCCAGTGGTACCCACGGAGCATCCCTGTGGTCCGGTGTTGGGATGCAGGGAGCAGCATCCCCAGTGATGTGGGGAGCAGGGAGGAAGATGCGGTCCTTGCCCCAGTGGTACCCACGGAGCATCCCTGCGGTCCGGTGTTGGGATGCAGCATGAGACCAGGGAGGGAGATGCGGTCCTTACCTGAGTGGTACCCACGGAGCATCCCTGCGGTCCGGTGTTGGGATGCAGCATGAGACCAGGGAGGGAGATGCGGTCCTTGCCCCAGTGGTACCCACGGAGCATCCTCGTGGTCCGGTGTTGGGATGCAGCATGAGACCAGGGAGGGAGATGCGGTCCTTGCCTGAGTGGTACCCACAGAGCATCCCTGCGGTCCGGTGTTGGGATGCAGCATGAGACCAGGGAGGAAGATGTGGTCCTTGCCTGAGTGGTACCCACAGAGCATCCCCATGGTCCGGTGTTGGGATGCAGGGAGCAGCATCCCCAGTGATGTGGGGAGCAGGGAGGAAGATGCGGTCCTTGCCTGAGTGGTACCCACAGAGCATCCTCATGGTCTGGTGTTGGGATGCAGCATGAGACCAGGGAGGGAGATGCGGTCCTTGCCTGAGTGGTACCCACGGAGCATCCCTGCGGTCCGGTGTTGGGATGCAGCATGAGACCAGGGAGGGAGATGCGGTCCTTGCCTGAGTGGTACCCACAGAGCATCCCTGCGGTCCGGTGTTGGGATGCAGCATGAGACCAGGGAGGAAGATGCGGTCCTTGCCTGAGTGGTACCCACGGAGCATCCCTGTGGTCCGGTGTTGGGATGCAGGGAGCAGCATCCCCAGTGATGTGGGGAGCAGGGAGGAAGATGCGGTCCTTGCCTGAGTGGTACCCACAGAGCATCCTCATGGTCCGGTGTTGGGATGCAGGGAGCAGCATCCTCTGGTGGTGCAGAGACCAGAGAGGGAGATGTGGTACTGAGTGGTACCCATGGAGCATCCCTGTGGTCCGGTGTTGGGATGCAGGGAGCAGCATCCCCAGTGATGTGGGGAGCAGGGAGGAAGATGCGGTCCTTGCCTGAGTGGTACCCACAGAGCATCCTCATGGTCCGGTGTTGGGATGCAGGGAGCAGCATCCTCTGGTGATGCGGAGACCAGAGAGGGAGATGTGGTACTGAGTGGTACCCACGGAGCATCCCTGCGGTCCGGTGTTGGGATGCAGGGGAAACAGCATCCCCCAGTGATGCAGGGACCAGGGAGGGAGATGTGGACCTTGCCCAAGTGGTACCCACGGAGCATCCCCGTGGTCCAGGGTTGGGATGCAGGGAGCAGCATCCCGAGACCAGAGAGGGAGATGTGGTACCGAGTGGTACCCATGGAGCATCCCTGTGGTCCAGTGTTGGGATGCAGGGAGCAGCATCCCCCAGTGATGCAGAGACCAGAGAGGGAGATGCAGTCCCTGCCCAAGTGGTACCCACGGAGCATCCCTGTGGTCCGGTGTTGGGATGCAGGGAGCAGCATCCCCCATTGAGAGGGGGATCACGGCACCGCAGAGTGGTTTGAGTGGAAAGGGAACTTAAAGAGCACCCACTTCCAGCCCCCTACCATGGGGATAGAGGGGGAGAATCCCCTCCATGCCCTTATGGAGATGCACACATTAAAGCTGGGTCATGGGGGGGGGGGCTTCTCATCACCCAACAGGCTTCCCAGTGCTCAAGCCATTATCCCTGGGGGTACTTAGACCTTGGGACCCCAAGGGGCAAGGTTCAGTGGGGGACTCGGCAGTGATGGGTTTAGGATTGGACTCAACCTAAAGGGCTTTTTCCCAACCCAAACGGTTCCATCCTGGTCCACAGCCAAAGAGCACCTCAAGGGCTCCAAAGGGTCTTGGACCCCTCCTTGTGTTGGGTCAGCGTGGAGCAGTTATTCCCTATGGATGATCCCAGTTTAGGAGCACAAGCGTGGAGCAGGGATGCTGCTGCACAAGGGTCACTGTGTTTTTGCTTAGGGCCTCTTGTAGGGAGAAACTGCCTTGTGTTAGATGGGAAATGGAAAATCCATGGAAGCAAAATCCCTAAAAATCCTCTTTGTTTTTTTGCTGTGCTTCAGTCAAAGCAAAGCCAAACCCTGGGATTTGGAAACAGAAGGGATTTAAAGAGGGGTTTTTCCTTTGTTTTACACCAATCCCTCGTGTGTTGATAGGGATAACGGCCCACGAAGCATCCCCGTCTCCTGCGTAGCTCCGTTAGAGGCCGCGGCACAATTCCCACCCCATGGAATGCTCGTGGAAGGGGAATTGCTGCTGGATCCTCGCTTTCCCATGAGTCACATCTTGGTCATGCCAAGCACAGGCAATATCCGGAGGGGTCATTCATGCTCCTAAGGATGAATGCTAAGGCCAGGATGGGGCAGGTTGGAAGAGGTGCATCCCAGCAGCATCTTCCCCTTGGCTTGCCCATCAGTGCTCTCCACATCGGGATGCTCTAATGGGTCCATGGAGGGGTGTTGGCATCCGGATGAGGGGCTGGGATGAGGGAAATGGGTCCGGGATCCTCTTTCATGTGGAATTCTCTTCCATATGGAATCCTCTTCCATATGGAATCCTCTTCCATGTGGAATCCTCTTTCATATGGAATCCTCTTTCATATGGAATCCTCTTTCATATGGAATCCTCTTCCGTATGGAATCCTCTTCCAGGCTTGCTTGCATCCCATAAAGTTGGGATCATCGAGTCCAAGCCTGGCCCCAGGGCACTAACACAGAGCCCAAAGGGGCCTCACCTCCCCCTGCCCCACTGGTCCTCTCCATCCGGGGGTTTAGAGTGGGCCTCGTGCCACCGGATGGGTTGGGGTTAGCCATTGCTTTGGGTTGCTTTACTGCAGTTTATTGTAGTTATTTAGTTTAGGTTTTATTTTATTTTATTTTACTTAATTGCATTGAATTTCATGTTATTTTATTTTTTATTTTATTTTGTTTGAATGACTTTATTTTATTTTTATTTTACTTTATTTTATTTTTATTTATTTCATTTTTTTCTTTTCATTTTATTTATTGATTGTGTTTTATTTAATTTCATTTTATTTCACTTTATTTTAGTTATTTATTTTACTTCATTTTTTTATTTTTATTTTATTTTTAATTGTATTTTATTTTACTTTATTTATTTTATTTTCTTTCATTTATTTTTAAATTATTCTTTTTATTTTTTAATTGTATTTTATTTCGTTTTCTTTAATTAATTTTTATTTCATTTTTCAACTGTATTCTATTTAATTTCATTTCATTCCACTTTATTTTACATCCAGGCTGATGGATGTGCAATCTCACGACGAGAAAGGGCATTCCCTCATCTGATGGCTGGGATAACACAGGAAGATGCTCCGTGGGTACCACGAGATGCTTGCCATCGCCTTTCCCAGCCTGCCAACTGCTCCCTAGGAGCTTCAGCAGCCCGAGTGCACCTTAAAGCTCCTGCTTTTTACCTTTCTTCCCCTTATTTAGCCCTTTTTGGGAGGCTTTGCTTGCTGTTTACCACTTTAGACCTCAGAGCATCTTCTGGTACCCAAAGGGGGCTCCAAGGATGCTGGAGGTGGAGCGATGGGACAAGGGGTGCAGCTTGGAGATGAGGATGCTCGGATGCTGAGACGTTGGAATGGGTTGCCCAAGGATGCTGCGGCAGCGCTCAAGGCAGCAGTGGTCCATGGTGGTCCATGGCGGTACCCATGCCACCCTTGGAGATGCTCAGGTGTCTTTTGGGCTCAGGTTTCAGCCCCTTGCGGCCCTTTCAGCCCCATTGACCTCATTTGGAGCTGGTGCCCTTCAGATTCAGCCTTCCCATGGGAACACCACCTCCTATTCCCCCCCTCATCCCCGGTCTCCAGTTGCGCGTTGGCCTCGCCGCGCGCATCCGTGCCTGTTGATGTCTGGAGGCTGGAGGCATTGGAAGCGGGGAGGAGCCGTGCTTCTCGGAGCTGCAATCTGAATTCATTTGCATCCCTGATGGCTTCCAAATTAGAAGCTGTTATTGGCGTCTGGCTTGGCGGAGGAGAGCCGAGGATGCAGGATTCACTCCTCTACGGGAATGGCTGCGGTAGGGGAGAAGGCGGCTTTTGGGGCGACGCAGAAGGAAAGCAGGGCAGGATTCCCAATCCGAACCATTCCATTGGCGTTAGCATGGGGAAGGCATCCCATCTCGGCCTTCAAGACTCCCCAGATTGGTTCTTGCCTGTGGGAAACAGCAAATGAGGCCCTTTGTGGGGGGGAGAAACGATCCTTTGATGGGTGAACCCCATGCAAGGTATTGAGGTTATAAAGAGACACATCAGTAGGATTAACACAACAGGGCTTTAATGAGTTAATGAAGGGCCATTAGCACCTCATTGCTTCTGATGCCCCTCTTCCATTGAAGAGCCAGGCCTGGATAACAGCTTGAAGTCATCCCCTTGGTACCCACTCGCCCATCGCTGTGGTAACCAATTGGAGCCGACTGGGGCTTCGTGGCTTTCAGTACCTGTTGCCATGCCTTCGTTGAGCTAATAACAGGCCGAGTGCATTGTGGCAGCTCCTTCAAGAGGTGGCTGGAGATGCTCCTTTGTGCGATGAATCACCGCGCATCGGAGCACCCTTCTCTGCTTCAGGCCTTTAAATGTTAAGATGGAAATGTGAAGATTCTCTAATGCCCACGTCCTAACCCTTTATCTTATCATCTTTACCTTATCTTTATCATCTTTAGCTTGGCATCTGCCCCTTGGCTCAGTTTCCTTTGCTTCTGGTTCACCT